TCAATTAATTGGGTTGCAAAGGTTGTACAAATGCACAATGTTATAAAAGAAATATACCCTATATATATAGGGTATAATTAATTTGTATCTATCATCATATTAAGGGGCCGTTTACCAAATGCTTACTTGGTTAGCGCTTACCAAGTCACATATTTAAGAAAATATTTAAGTTTTTTTTTCAAAAAAATTGGATTAAATTACCGGCGGATTAATTTTATCTGCCAAAAATGTATTTTAGAGATGATCATTTACGGGTTTGGGTTGGACTCTGGGCGGGCCTAACTTGTTTTTTTTGTCTAATGGGTCTAATATTGTAAACTCAAACCCTTTTTTTCGAGCTTGACAACTTGCCATTACCCGCCTTATAAACGGGCTAGACTTTCCCACGGGTTAATGGGTCTAAAAAGTGTAACTCTTGTAAATCTATAAACTTGATCACTAGCAATTAATTAACAAATATGGAACCAAAAAGTAAAGAAAAAACACTGTTGCAGTTAAAATTTTAAGCAACTAAAGTGACACATGGATCTCAACAAGTGGAGAAAGAAATGAAAAACAAAATTCAAAGTTGAAGCTCTTAATAATATCATTAAGATGTAAACAAACAACATCTTAGCATTTTGGGTTCTCAAAAATAACCAAAGAGTCTCAACCTATAACTTTAATAATTTAATTTAAAAATAGACTAGTAAAATTTTAATTAATGGTAAAAAAATATTATTATAAAATATAAACGGGCTGGGTGGGTCTGTCCACATTTATTTTTACATTGCCCATATCCGTCCGTTAATTTTAACGAACAAACCCGAGCTCGTCTATTTTCTCGATGATGATTGTCCAAGTCCGTATTTCTAACGAGCCAGATGGACCAGGTCTAACAGATCGTCCCGCCCATGAACAACTCTACCATAAATCTCTTATTTGGATTCCGGCAATGCAATGTAGTGGGACTCTCATGTCGATCCGAATGAATCATCCTTTCCACGGAGGCAAATCTTTGCCTGTTAGGTAAGAGGATAGCAAGTTACAAATTCTGTCTCGGTAGAACATGTATCTCTATTACTATGAATTTCATAAAATGAAGTAGTTAATGGTGGGGTTACCATTATCCTTTTTGTAGTGACGAATCCTGTATGTGTTCCTAAGAAAAGAAATTTGTTCGACTAAAATAAAGGGAGTGAAATGGACCAATCACCTAACCTCTTAAATGGACAATTTATTAATGCAAGTTGGTCGAATTCAGATGATTCAGATAATATATTAAACATGATTATAAAAACTATATTTTCATAAATAATTCGAGTCTGAATTTTAGTGTAACCCTCAACTTAAAATAATAACCTGACTCAATAACTTCTAAATCAACTTAAAATTATGATATAAGTTACTGGTAACCTAAACTTTGAACATATAAGGAACTTACTGATCTATTTTTTTATCCATGTGGGATGTGTCGCTCCTCCACTTAAATTCCCTACGATCTCATTCGGCATACCCATAATCCTCTTTATAATCGGCAACGTAGGATTCACCTGATATGTCACAAACACCCCTCTCCCTATCTTGAGGACTCATTATGACCGATACTGTTTGCCCCTACAAACCAGATGGTACAAGAATCAGCTCTGATATCATTTGTGACGTCCCAAGCTTAAAGCAGCAACCTGACCTAATAACATTTGAATCAACTTAAAGGAAGATACAAAATACTGATAACCTATAACTTTGAACTTATAAAGAACTGATAATCGAAATACGCAATTGGTTGTTACATTTAGTGATAAAGATATGATGTTTAAGTTTTATTAAAATATTTCTTAAAATTATTAAAATAATTATATATATGATTTTATTATTTAATATTGGAAGCATTTTTAATATAAATACAATGGTCGAACCTCACACTCAACCATTCGAATTTGGGACAAAGGGAAGAAAATTTAGTGACACCACAATGGCTTCTTCGACTCCAAAACTAAGGTTTAGTAGCTCATTTTTTTCCTTATATTTTTATTTTATTTTAATTAAGTCATCAAAATAATGTGTCATCCACATCATCTCATCAAAGCCACACAAGCAAAAAAAGTCAAGGGGTTAACCGGTTTAAAAGGTAACATGTTGCCCATTGCTATAATGGGTAGATTTTTTAAAGTGCGATGCCTTAATAAAAAATAATTTGAAAGTACATTGCTGTAATAAAGAAAAACAAAAGTAGAATGCTATAATAAGAAAATTTATGATAGTAGGTTGCTATTTCATGCATTTAACCTAAAATTTTACAGCTTTAAATGTTGAATAGCTGATGATTTAGGTTTTAACCAACAAAGTAATTATGTTCAGTTAAAGAAATTGGTTTCGGTTTGTTATTTTGGATGATAACATATCAATCTTGTGTTTGCTTAACATGAAGCATAATATGTTTTAGACTTGAAAATAAGGTAGCTATTGTTACGGGAGGAGCTCAGGGCATTGGAGAATGTATTGTGAGGTCGTTCGTAAAGCATGGAGCAAAAGTAATTATTGCTGATGTAAAAGATGACTTGGGAGAATCGGTTTGCCAAGACTTGGGTGTTGAGTTCGTATCTTTCATTCACTGCGACGTAACCCTTGAAGCAGATGTAGAGAACGCCATCAACATGACAATTGCTAGGCATGGACAACTGGACATCATGGTTAACAATGCAGGGATAATTGATGAGCCAAATCTTAGCATTTTAGACAATGACAAGACATCCTTTGAGCAGGTTATCAGTGTTAATTTAATTGGGGTGTTCTTGGGAACCAAACATGCAGCACGAGTGATGATCCCAAAATGCAGTGGGAGTATCATCACGACTGCAAGTGTATCTTCTGTCACGGGTGGGTGTACAACGCATGCTTATACGAGTTCAAAACATGGTGTGGTTGGACTAGCAAAAAATGTTGCTGCTGAACTAGGGAAGTATCAAATCCGCGTTAATTGCATATCACCCTATGCTATACCGACTCCAATGTCACTTAACTTCATAGGCATGGATGAAAACACGAATGTTTACTCAAACCTTACTGGAAAAACGCTTGGACCACAAGATATTGCAAATGCAGCTCTTTTTCTAGCAAGCGATGAGTCTGGGTATATCAGTGGACATAACTTGATTGTAGATGGTGGCTACACTGTTCTCAATCTAGTATTTGGCTTGTTTTCATTGACAAAATAGAATCCTAGATCATCATATAGATCATTCTTTTCCATTGTGTGTTTGTGTTTGTTTTCCTCTTTTTATTCTTGTTTTCTTGGTTAAATAATGATGTGTATTTATTTTTGAATTTGTTATCAACTCTACTAAGGGGCCGTTTACTAAACGCTTAGTAGGTAAGTGCTTACCGAGTAATTTTTCTTATCTGATGAACATGACAAGGGTCAAAAATTTTACCCGGTAAGAGCAATGATAAAGATGGAGAGTCTTACTCAGTAAGTGAGGATGAAGACTCTTACCCGGCTAAGTGCTTACCGGGTAAATTCTTGCATACGCTACCATTTTAATGTACTACAATCTTACCCAGTAAAATAAATTATAGTGTTAACTCCTAATGGTAAGTGCTTACCGGTAAGCATTACTCCAATCAATTATTGTGTTACTCTAACTAAGTAATTATAATACACACACACACACACACACACATATATATATATATATATATATATATATATATATTAGGTTGGGATCACGTGAGACGAGCCTGTTTTCGTGAGACCCATGAGACCACTTTTTTACACTTGAAACTTCAAAGCAAAACATTGTGAAGGTAAAAAAAAGCCGAATCTTCACAGAAAAAACACTGTGAAGGTTACCTTTACATCGTTTTACTGTGAAGTTTCAAATATAAAAAAAAGTAGTCTCATGGGTCTCACGAAAACAAGCGGATCTCACGAAAACAGGCTGGTCTCACGTGATCCCAAGTCTCTCTCTCTATATGTATGTATAAACGGTATTGATCGCATTAAGGCTACGATTTTTATGGCTAAAACATACATTTTATCTGACATTTAGCTGTTTGTTTGACATTTTAACATCTATGCATGCAAACCATAGGGATGTATGTAATTCATAAATATTTCAAAATAAAGATTCAGAATATTAAAACACATAAACCACAAAGACCAAATTTGTAATTTACTCTATTTTTTTGAGAATTATTTTTTTTAAAACGTAATATGTTTTTTTTTTTTATTCACAAAGTTATTGTATGTTTTATTAATTAACAAAAGTTATAGTATGTTCTCTAAATTGCATTAGACGTTGATATGTTCCTCATAACGAAACTTTAGAAAACCCTATAAAACAAAGAGGCTTTACCCACATACTTTTTCATCTGTAATTACTGATGGATTTGTGGTGGAGGTGATTGAAAATCCGCCGGTAATCAAGATCACTGACCATTCTTTCTTCGGCGATGAGATCTGTCGGTGATGATTTTTTCCAACGAATTTTTTTGTCGGTAAAGTCTCTTTATTTTATTGTGAAATTGGTTTCTTAAAATAAAAGCTTTATTTCAATACAGTTGGTCTTTGATAGAGTGAATTAGTGGCTTGAAACAAGGGAGTTTGAATTGAAATTCCAAGCTTGAACCCATCATGAAAAATAGGACAATTTATTGTCCCGATAAAAATCACTTCTCTGAAAATCACGTGTCTCATTCCTATTCCACCAATAATTATATATATATATATATCAATTTATTGTCCCGATAAAAATCACTTGTCTGAAAATCACATGTCTCATTCCTATTCCACCAATAATTATATATATATATATCAATTTATTGTCCCGATAAAAATCACTTATCTGAAAATCACATGTCTCATTCCTATTCC